CCATCAGGTAGCCATCACAGATACGGAAGATTCTGGGAGTGGCCACAGCCTGAACGTCCCAGCGAGCCTGAAGGTCCTCCTCCAAGAAGGAACCAGGAATCATCGTCCTCTTCACAACAAGATCTACCAAGATCAAGGTCCATGCCTCAAAGAACCAATATTGTTGACAAGCTCAACATGTCTTTGGAAGAGCTGGATGGACTAGAAGAGGAACCGTCACCAACAAAAAGTGACATCGAAGAACATGAAAGAGAAACATCAAACTTGATGTCTGCTCAGAGAGATGAAGAGGAACAAGAGGACGAATCCTCCAGCCGGAGGAGAAGAAGGAAGGCATCGCGTCCACCGTCTGCTCCGAGCGGCAAGGCACTCAGAACAGCTGCTACAGCAGCGGGGTTGTCGGGCTGGTTCGGACACCGCAACCAAGGTGGAGCGAACGCAGAGGCTATCAAGACTGATGAAACTTCACTTCCAAACTCACTAACCAGTGAGCAGGACTTCTCCGTCTTCAGCATCGCGTGGAATGTGTTTCTGCTGCTAATGGGCTTACACTGGATGTGGAAGCAGATTACCAGTCCTCCTATCAGATGTATGGAGCGCCAACAACCAAAATCAAAAGCAGCAGCGAACCAAAGAGTTCCATTCCTCGAACCCGAGGATGAACCGCAGACGCGTGAACCTTTAGGCCCCAACAGGGTCAATTCCGGAGAAACAACTGATCTGCGACCTATCTGGCATACTTCCCGAAGCGAAGTCTACCATCTCTCAGACAGCTGTTACCAGCTCAAGCAAGCAAGAGATGTTTGCCAGAAGGTGCTGTGCAAAAACTGCCTCCATGCAGTACAAGTTGCGGAGATTCGCAGGAACGATCCTTTCCAAAGAGGTGATACACGTTCACGTGGCACCGAAAGAGACATTGAGCGCTTCCAGACCTACGATGATGCAAGTACCACTCCTCATATGACGCAATTATTCAAAGATGCATTGCATGCACAAATGGCCGAAGAAGCCATGCAGATTACCTATACCTCGATCCCCAAGGGATCCTCGGCAAAAGCCAAAGGTACATCTGCACTCTCAAGTGCCGCATCGTCGTCAGCGCCCAAGGCAATGCCACCAGGGCCTAACAAGGCAAACATGTCACCTCCACCTAAGAGTCCTCCGCCAAAGGCGAAAGGAACAGTACCTTCAGATCCTCCGAGACCAAAAGGTCCTACCAGAAGAGGAGGTCAAAATCGGCGCACTCAACGAAAGGCAGCCAGAGAAGCCCACAACAGTGGACTCTGCACCTATGCAGACGCTGCACTTAACGAAGCCAATCAAGGCCAGGCAATTAACATTACGTGTCGAAACATGGCAGCAAGACACGTCAGCTCTATCGATGCAACGGTAGAAGCAGCCGATCAGTTTACACAACGCGTGCTACAGCACGTAGAAACATATGATGAAGAGGAACCGTGGAGCACGGAGCTTCTACCAGTCGTGGAAGTCCTATTCAGGAACTTAAGCGGCGACGAAACAACTGTCATACATGACAATCAAACGGTAACTATGCCTCTTACGAAATACACGGACCTCCTCAGAATCGCACAATCATTGCGAAGCTCTATCCAGAGAGACAAGGAGGAAAGGAAGGAACATCTTGACACCATCCAAGATACTCTATCCAGAGTGGAAATACTTCTAACAGCACTGAAGGACTCAAGGACAGTCTTTAACCAATTGGTCCATTCCTCACTAGAGATAGAGCGAAGAAATAACAATCTCAAAAATGTCCTCGAGACACTCTTTGACGACCAAAGCTCTGAGGAAGACCAGTCAGAATCTGACAATGAAGAAGTCCTAACTCCTTCTGCACCACAGTACTGGAATAGCCTTTATGCCCACGCCTGATCTCCTTCAGGAGATGAAAGTGAAAGATCATGGGCGTCCTCAGACGGACAGCTTGAAAGAAGAAGGGCTGAACGGGCAAAGGCTAAGCAGCCACAACCAGCTAAAGCCAAGGCAACTCCAGTCAGCTCACAAGCTGCGCCAAAGGCCGAGCCAAAGGCGACAACATCCAACCATGGATATGATACTGCAGACGCCGCCTTCACCAGGGCTGAGAACAGACTACTCGGAATTTATTCAAGTTCCGAAGAAGATCACTCAGCCCCGGATGAGCCACATCCGAACGTCTACGCTCGAGCCTATGATCCAAACCTGGATCCAAATCTGAGATAAGGAAAATCTCGGAGTTTCACAACAGTGACTCACAAAGCTCTAACAAGAGCAAAGTGAAGGGCTGCATAATTCGATGTAGAAAATATCACCAGACATGATCTTGTACAGACGATCTCTCTGACCAACATGCATGAGTGTGTGCAAAAGGAGTGTCCTCAGCAGTGTACTTCAGTGCTATACCTAGCTTAAATAATATGCTGTTTTCATCATGAGTCCAGACTCCGCAACTGTGACAGTGGGCATAATAGTATATGTGTGAATGTGCGGCCATGCTTCCGGTAAAAGAAAATTAGTGTCTGTTTGAAACCATAAACCTCTAAAGGGGTAGCTCTAACAGGTACCTACAGCAATGGCTGCATGCTCATACATATACATTCCGCTGCCCATTGGCTCACAGTGGTTTTACCATATTGAGACAAGACAAGCTCTCCTTGCGTAGCAAGACAAAACAACTACTGTCCGTGTGCAGGGCGCTGCCCTTTGATCCTTAGGGAATAAACTGGTCATACACCTCCTAACAAGGAGCATATCCTTGGGGGTGTATCGGCACAGGGGGGAGGGGTTGGGGGGGGGTGGGGGGTGGGGGGGGGGGCTAATTCCGCCCTGTGCCGACCCTTAACTCCCAGAGACTGCTTGGAGCATGTTGTGTGCTTGTTGCTCTGCGTCGAATCACTTTCTGCAGCTTCCTGCCAAAAACCACTCCGGGCTGAAGTGTGAAGTGTCTAGTCTCAAAGCTTGCAGTCTTCAGCGAGGCGTAAGCGCACATGTTCCGATCAACATGTTGACAGACGACGATGATGGCAGGTTCCCAGAACGTTCGATCATCCACCACGGCTTGTGTAGCTCTGAGTGAAGCCATGCTCACCTTCGCGAACTTTCAGCAGCTCTTGTCCGTGGGATTGGCTCTCCTGCTGATTCTGCGAGAGCAGAACGGGCAGCTGCCAACCGAGCTGGCCGCCTTTGCGAGGTGCCCCTTCAGCGAGCTCGAAGAGACCTTTGGGGCAGGCTCCGGGTTTCATGCAGTCTGCTTTCGACCAGTTTTCATCTGTTTTGACTTAGACCTCCGAGCATCCCTGCCCTGAAGATTTTGGCGTCGCCTTGGGTTCCTAGCTTGGCCGGCACGCAGCAAAATGACCGCGTGTGCATGCATCTTCAGGGCTCTATTCCGAAGACGCTGCGCAACAGAGTCTCCGGGAAAGGACGCCGCTCAGCCAATCTTGACCGGATGTGGCAGTACGTGCGGCAGTATCAGTTCCGGCGTATGCACTCAGATGTGTACGCAAGTCTTGCAGCACTCTGCGAAGCAGCCAACAAGTGCTGCTGACGAAGTTTGCGCAGCGCGGTGCTCGCAAAAGTGCTTTTTACTGCAGTGCCAGCACTGTTTTCGCTGAAACGATCGACCTGTCACAGGGATTCTCCGCCTTTCCTACCACAAGTTTTTAATCATAATACACGTTTTCCCTAGGTTTTCGCACATTGCCCGTTTCAGCAAAGCCACCAAACGCCGGTCACGTACCAGGCGCTGTTACCTCGTTTTATTCGCAGCGGTTGGTAGTCTCGCGGTGCCCTTGGTAGGGCGGATGCATGTTGATGCATCCAACCCCCCCGCGGCATGGAAAAGACTATTCTCGGAATGTGCTGACATTCCAGGGAGGGTTGGGTGGGCTAAAGAAAACGTCATGAGCCACGGCCTGAGCCTCGAAACCGGGGTTCGGCTCCGGTGTCGTCGGGACCGAGGAGGGGACGTCCGGCTGTGTGCACGATTGTTCCGAAAGGACCCGGACCTGGGAGGTTGCGTCGTCGCATGTCGCTGGGAAGAATAGGGATCACCTCGAGAAGGTTCCTCACGTCCAGGTAGGCGATGTCGTCGGGAAGGTGGAGTGCGAGAGCGGTGTGGACCCATGAGGAAGATGAGGAGGTGTAGGGAACCAAGCGACAGGGGCCAAAAGTATAAAATGGCTGCGGGAAATGAGCATGTCAGAAGACCGCAACAACATCGAGAACAGCTTCTTTGTCCAGGTCCTGAGCGCGCGTCATCAAAATCGCCCGAGTCGAATCAGACCCAACTCCTTGTAGCTGGAAGGAACGAAGATCCAGTGCTGAAGTCCACGGTGAAGAGCCATGCCGCGGACTTGTTGTGGACAAAACGGGTGAATGATGGAAAGGCACGGTCGAGAAGAGCGTGAGCGTTGAAGATCGGGCTTATTTGGTTTTCCGGCAATATCCCGCAAGTGAGAAACGAACATCCTGCAAGCGAAAAGGGCAACTGATGCCATTCCCCCGAGGGGTGGGCGGGTGGGACAAAAAATTTTCTCACGCCTGCAAGCAAAACTGCGAATGCCACTGACATGCATGGCAAAGCAAACGTGAGAAAACATCATGTCATGCAAATAACCCCCGCAAGACATGACTGGAAAAAGTGCGCCCGAAAATTGTAAACAATTTTTCCAACATGAAAACAATCAAATAAGAAAACATCCGCCTTCGGGAGAGGTTGTTCTTATTTGGTTATGTTTTCATTCCAAGCGCACCAACAAAGCAGAAGTACATGTACACGAACTGCACTCACAGACTGAAGCAATCGCACTCGGACTTCTTTTTTAGAGCGAGGGGTGCAGACTGTTGGATTCCGGCTCCACATTCGTGGATGTACAAAGACTGGCAAAACTACGATCGTCCTGCAACGAAGTTTCCGGCAATATCCCGCAAGTGAGAAACGAACATCCTGCAAGCGAAAAGGGCAACTGATGCCATTCCCCATTCAAGATCAGGTGCCGCTAGAACAACAGCTCTTCGCCTGGGGCCCAACGGACTCTGAAGTTGGTAGGAAGCTTGCCAAACACAAATCGCGAAGGATCATCGGCAGGGTTCGCAGATGACTCCACTCTCTCAAACCATATGCTGATTCCTTTCTCATCCTCAAGCATGCTGAGCTTGTTGAGCTGCGATGCTACCACCGGGGAATCGGAAGCACACTTGATGAGGGCCGCGAGGGCGGCCTCATTGTCACAATAGCAAATGAGATTGCAGTCACTCAAAGAGTTGCAAAGTTGCACCACACCTTGCACTGCCGCACAAGCTTCCAATTCATAGATCAGACCTTGCTTGCCCTCTTTGTTTATGGCCTCCAGAACGTCTGGGTCGGCAGACTCGGAGTACCACCTAAGGAGCAAACCCCTATCGCTGTAAAGAAAGCCTCCTAGGCCGGCTGGCGCATCCGCTTCGTAGGAAGCGTCTGTGAACAAGTGGTAGGTGGAACGATCGCAAGCCCTGATCATCCTTGCTTCCCCGTGCAAAACTCGATCTTTCAAGAAGAGCAGGGCCTCGGTCAAGGAATCATCGAGAACTACAAAGCCCGAGAGCTTCATTGCTTTTGATATAGCTCGCATGCGCTGGGCCGCACCCCGACCAAACACTTGCGACTCAGCGAACTGAAGACGGCCACGCAAGCACTCAAGTTCTTTGGCATGCACTCCACCTTGCTGTACGATGGACTCGATCGTGGACACGAGCTCACGCTTCCTAGCCTCTGTGTTTTGAACCCTAAGTAGACCTAAGTGGATCTCGTCCAAACTAAACTCTACTCCTAAGGCCTTTGCCACACTTTTGAACCCGGCGTCTTTTTCGTCAGACGTTTCCCAGCCGATCAAGGCAAAGTACGACCGCAACACAAGATCAAGATGGCCCTTTTCCTCCGGAGAGGATACTGCTACAAAATCGTCGAAGAACACGCTCCAGTGGATGTGGAGCAGGACCTGCCCCACACTCCAAATTGCCCCCGAAGAACGACAGAATCCTTGTACTGATGGCTTGGCGCCAAAGGGTAGCACCTGGCTTTGGTAAAGTTCAGGTTCGCCCGTATTCGGGTTAAGCACACAGATATAAGCATCCCCCAAAGCCCGCTCCGATAAGGGAAGTTGCTTATAGGCTTTACGCAGATCTATCGTACGAAGGAGCAAGCGGGCGTCCTTCCCTGATTTTCGTAGCAGCCGGCACCGCCTCAGGATCCCGGCCCGGCCACAATGATGTTCACTGAGTGCGGGTCAATTGTTTCCGCACAAGTGCACGTCAAGTTGGCTAAGCTTTTTTTTCACCAGCAGCGTCCTCGAAGGTCGCCTGGCCTAGCTCAGGCACTACAGGTTTTCGCAACCTGGCGTCTCTGTGGACGCTTGGCCCCTAGCACTGTTAGACAGTGCTCAACAAGTCCGGCACGTATGCCCTAGCGACAAGTGCACGGTTCCCACTACACTAGAACACAGAGTACAAAAGGTTCGTCAAAACTTCGAGGCGAGAGGAGTTGGCTCTTTCAACACTTGCGTGCGTTTGTGCAAGCAGGAGCCCTCTTACAGTAAGAAACAAAAACTCGGCTACAGCGGCAGACAACAGCGGCAGACTAAGAAGCAGCCCTCTAAGTGCCGAAAAGCACGCTTCAGCAGCACTGGTTGACAACTGAACTGACAGGCACTACACAGTCACTGCACCTCGATGACCGACATGTATGGGTCAGTCACTCGCTCACAGGTCCGAACATGGAAGCCAGCATCAGCAAGCATGGCGAGATCATCCGGTTGAAGTCTCCATGCATCTCGTATGTGAAAACCAATGACGACCGTCCGCTCTCCCGTCCAGTCAAACACTGCATGCGGCTGCGTTGCATCCAGCAAGGTAAAAGGGTGTTTTACTGGCACAACATCGCCTAGCAGCTCGGTACCTGGGAATGTGATGCAGCCACTGTCCCTGGAGACCCAAAGTTCGCCAGCGTCCCAATAGCCGGCCGGAATCACAATATTTTGAAAAGTCCGGCTGTTGCGTGCATCCACATGTACCCCAGACTGCTGATTCAGCGAGAGTGTGACAGTTGTAAAGGGCCTCGAACCCGCAGCAGATTTAACTATACAGCAGAGTAGCCTCGTCACCCACAAATAAGTACGCATGCTTGTTCGGATCCCCGCTTCGCCACCGAAGATGTAGGCACCTGTTGTAAAGCACCGGGACTCCTGGCAGCGCGAGTAGTAGTGATTTGCGTGGCTTCGCATCGACTGGTAGAAGAAGGCATAGCTGCTGTAATTGACTAAAGGTCACGAACCCTGTATGCAGACAGGTGTATGCCAGCTGGTTGGCTCGCTCCCCCATGTCAGTGAAAGCATCTGACAGCGTGCGCACAAGATCAAACTCAATCGCAAACCCGTCAGAGCAGCAAGAACAATCGGAGGCCAAAGATGATTGACTGGAGCTGCTGCGCAAAGAAGAGTCAATGATGGTGGCATCGTCATCCGGCATGTCGTCGTCCGGGCGAGGGTCATAATAATACATCTCAGGCGTAAGTGCTGTCTCAAACCACGGGGCAGGAAGTCGCAACACCTGCAAGGTCACATCTGAGTCTTCACAGCCTGTAGCCATGGAACATCGTCACCAGGGATGTGGCCGAAATTTCGTGAAACTGTGATTCGAGAATAATTGGGGCGGTCAGGCACAAGAACTCAATAAAAGCACGAAAGCATAAAGAGCGACAGTGTCAACGCAAGGCACAGCTTGTCACTGAACATGCGTAACAATGGTACGCGAGCTGTACAAATGTTTTGCATCCAGTCGCCAGTAACTGTATGTGTGTATGAACAAAGAGAATACCCCTCGAGCTGCTCCCCGCCACTGCAACACTGTAGCGTGATTGCTTCCACGCAATCGCCCCTGTCCACAACCTGGCAGTGCTCGTCTGTGGTGGTCCGAGCTTCCCACTGGCATGTGAGTCGTGTGGCACCTAGCTTACACAGCAGAAAAGACAGGAACTCCGACACATCGTGTTGCATATGTGGGTTCCCCCAGTCGTGTAGCAGCAGCCTCCACATAGGAATGCCAATGATCATTAGGGACCGCTGCTGATGGTTCAGGATGAGGTTAAGTGCTTCTTTTCCGGTCCTCGTGAAGACTGTCGCCCACTGCCCGAGCGAGACAAGCGACCAGAGTAGACCTCGAACCGCAGTGTTGATGTAGCAATAGTTGCTAGGATTCCGTAAAACCAGGGTTCGGACTAGGCCACGAGCTCCAGCAACCTCTGCGCTCCCGGCGAGCGCTTGAAGCCTTCCTTGCGATACTGAACTCCGCACACCTGTAGCGCCGCACTTCCCTGAAGTTTCTCCAGTTTGCTGTATAACGCATTCGCTGAGGCTTTGCGGAACGATATGTCCATAACCATGGTGAGCATGTGCCCCGACATCTGTTCCACTAGTGGCCTCGTTGAGTGAAAGCGCGACACTGTGTCGCCGCTCACCAAGCCCTTCATGTCGTTCAGTAGATGGACGACTTCCTGAGTGGTCATGCCCGGCTTTGTTTCGTCCACCATGAGCTGCTGATTTTCTGCCATGTTTGGTAGACCCATCTGCCCTCCGCCGTGAGCCAGCCTTGTTTGTTCGCCTCCGCCAGTTTCGTCTGGTCCATGCTCCCCAGTGTCGCTGCCAGCTGGTGCAGCAGACACCAGAAGAGCGCCGATCGGAGACTGGTGTTGGCCATCTTGCTGTCGGGTTGGGACACCTCCTTCCGCCACACCTGCGCCGCCTGGAAAAGATCCGGTACTATGGTTGGTGTGGAGATGCTTAGCCACCACACCCACCCGGTCGACTGCCTGAGGACGTGCAGGACATCCTCCTGTCTCACCATCATTCTGGCCATCAGTTGGATGGCGTCCACGAGCCAGTCCATGTCCCCGCTGTATCCACTGTTCCAGCTGCTGGGCTGGTGCTGTGGCTTTCGGAACTGCTTTCCACCTCCTTTGCCCTTTCCTTTGCCTTTGGGTCCCCTGTTGGCCGGTTTGTTCTGCTTGCTCGGTCTGTCCTGGACCTTCGGCTCCTCCTGCAGCAACCGCTTCCCCAACACCGGACCGAACACTTCCTGGAACTGCATGTCCGCCGTGGCCAACTCCTCCGTCATGATGGTCGGGCAATGTGGCTCCAGCGTCGTGTGTTTGTCGATGCCGGTTTACACTGTACAACGCATTCTGTATGAGTTCAGAGCAGCTGTTGGCATGTTTGACCTTCTTGCCGTAGCCACCTAGACAGAATTGACATTTACTGCCCAGACCACTTGTCCACTGACTACACAGCTGTTTGACCCGTGGCCCCAACATGCTCCAGGACTCAGCATGCACCGTCTCAAAGTGTTTCTGCAAAGACCGTGATGTACATGTAAGCCCACACAACTGACAAGCTCCGTGCCATCTTTTGATCTCTGCCTCTGCAGGAAAAGGAATGTCAGGCGCACTGGCTTGGCTGGGTACATTGTGCTCGTTGCTCACGTGGATGGACCTGATCATGGAGAGCTGAAACAAGACCGGACATGTATCCCTGTGCTCCGCTTTGCTCGGGACCTGCGCTCCACACCACTCACACATCACCTTGATTTTGTCGATATGCTGCCTGCGCCACTGAAATGTAGGAGCTGAATGTGTCTCCCATTCTTCTGTGTGTGAGCGCTGCCAATGTCTCTTAAGATACTTGTGGTCGTGGTGCCACTGCCTGCAAAGTGCGCAATGCTGCATGAGCTCCGTTCGCAGATCAGCCGTGACGGCCTCCACTCGCAAGTTTTGCACATCGAGCTGCCCTGCCCTGACAATTTGCATGACCGAGTCTTTATCTGTGCCCGATGCTGGCTCCGTCGCAATGGTGGATGCTGCCTGACAGTGGCCGCCCTCAATGTGTTTGCGGAGGTCTGCCCACCGTGGGAAGCGATGATTGCATTGCGAGCAAATGGGCATTCCGTCCTTCCCGTGCCGCTGCTGGTCAAAGTCGGGTGTTTGCTCTTTGGCCTCCTGTCTTCGGGCCTGACTGTGAAGCTTGCCCGCGTGTGCACGCAGCGCTGCCCAGGTGCCAAACTTAGCGCCGCACTCCTGACACACATGTGTCAGACTGTCTTCTGCGTCGCCTGCGGCCTTTTGGGCCTCGGTCAATATCTCCCGGGTCCGAGCAAGAACGGCCTGTTCGTGATCAAGGATGATACTGGATATCCTGGCATCATCTTCCCTCAGTTTGGCCTTCAAGGTGGTGGTGACGGTGACGGCTCGTTCGAGCCGTTGCAGGATCATGTCCACTGGCGCAATGATGCCTATCCGCCGCCAGAACTTATCATTGTTCTCTAGGTCCAAGTGAACTGGGCTGCGAGCAATGGCGCGGGCTTGCCGCGTGAGCACAACCCGAAACTGATCCATCGTCTTTGCACTAAAACCCGAGGCCAGAAGTGAGTACATAGCTGAGGTCACCACTGTTGCTTTCCACAGTTGGAGTCGTCGGTGCATGTTGAGGGCCCTGTGCGCCATGAGCGTGGTACGTAATCGGCTGAAAGCTGCACGGCATGCCTGAAGTCGATGCTGCATGTTCTGTGACTCGAAGTTCTCGTAGGAGATGCAGGCCCCTAGATAGATATGCGACTTCTTGAGCGGCATTTCCCAGTTCATGTCGAGCTTGAGCAGCTTGCCTTGTTTGGTCTTGCGTACCACCTTCTTGATTGCATTCGGTGCCTGAACCCCATCTGCTCTAAGCAGGCAAACAGTTTTCTCCTTGCTGATTATGAGTCCGCAGGCAGTAAGGAGTTGCAAGACGGTGCCCGCCTGTTTGAGTGCCAGCTGCATGCCAGCCACGTCCTCAAACCTCCACCTGAAGTGCAAGTCGTCCGCGAATCCTACTCCGTGCTGTTGGCACCAATTCAATCCCAAGGTGTTGTCCATGCGTCTAAGCAAGTATACCGAGATGCAGACCCAGAGAGTCGGTGAGAGCTTGCACCCCTGTCTAATGCCCTTGTCGGAGCCATATTGTACTTCATCTGGATGTCCGCCTATGTGGAACTTGGTTGAATGGACCCACTGCATGATGATGCCGATTAAATCGGCGGGAACCTCCAGCATCTCCAGTGCTCTCTGCAGTAGGTCGCGGCTGATTCTGTCGAATGCTTGGGTACAATCTATACTGAGCTGTAGACCACCGGCGCATGAGCCTCGCTTGTGTCCTGCTCGTAGATCGTAAAGCGAGCGACCTTGTGCCTGCGCAGCCGCCCTAACGTCGCGACAGTGTGCGAAGACCACACAGAGAGCCTGAAGAGGAGAACGGTGTGGGAGATAGCCATGCAGGTGCTGCGGTGCAGTCCAGGGTTGTACAAACGGCATCAAACGATCCTTCAAGATGCCGGCAACCGCTTTGCCCATGGGCTCGAGCAGTGCTATGGGCCTGAGATGCGCGGGAGAATCCCCGATTTTGCCCGCTTTTCCTAGGAACACCAGCCATGCCGAAGCCCAGTCCTGAGGGACACGAGTGCCGCCCTGCTGCCAATCATGGAACACCTGCTCGCTCATGAACGTGGCAATGTGCTCCGAAGCCATACTCCAGAACACGTGTGGAGCACAATGTTTGGGTGCTGCTTTGTTACCCTGCAACCGCTGAAGAGCATCTCTGAGCTCCTCGCATGTGATATGGAACGTGTAGCTGGTGGGCTCGTCTCCACTGGGCCTGGTTCCACCATTGACACTTTGCCAAAAGGTGAGCAATACCTGTGCTTCTTCTGCTGGAGTCATGAGCTTGCCACGCACATCTCGCAGTTGTGCACGCCGACGGGCTTGCTTCGGTGCATGCCTACGCAATAAGTCGAAGATCGCCGAACTGCAACCCGAGCGTTCATGGGCCTGCGCCTCAGCCAGGAGCCTTTCGAACCGCTGCCGTCGCAAACTACGACTGTGTTTCTGTACCTGCCGATGCATGCGATGGAACTGCATCCAATGTCGCCAAGCCTGAATGGCTCCTCGCAGCGTAGCCCGCCCACTGCCGGAGCAATCCAGCTGAGCTTTGCGCATCTCCCTGTAGTGTCCCCACATGGTTTTGATGGTAACGACATGTTCTGGGTCCTCAGCTGGAGCAGGTAAGCTCGGGGGCCTCCGGATCGTGAAGACCTTTTTGCCCGCCTCAAGCAGCAGGTCATTCAGCTGCTGGGGCTCGTAAGAGGTGACAGCCGTTAGTGATTCCGCAACCTGCTGCTGAAACTGCTCCACAAGTTCGGGATGCTCCTTGACCTGTTGAGCGAGCAGTTTGCATTTCCAGCTCGGCCATTCTGCGCAGGGGGTTCTGGGACTATTGGAGTAGTAAGGTCGATGCGTGAAGACCACATGGACAGGTAGATGCCGTCCTCCTGCTCGCCAGCGTCCCACCTCAAAATCGCTGATGATTTTGGAAGTGATGGAGCGGTGCTTGTGTCTTCGGAGCATCACATAGTCAATGAATGAGCGCCGCGCTTTCGCGAATCCCTCATGTATGTATGTGTACGACCCGGACCTGTGAAAAGTGTTGGCAGCAATGCAATCAAAATCATTCTGAATGTGTTCTAGAGCCTCTGCATCTGACGAACTCTGCTGCTGCCTCGGAAGACCTCGACCCACCTATGGAGCTCGGTGCTGAAGCGCTGTATTGAAATCACCACAAACGATAAGTGCACTGCTCTGAGGGATCTGGCCCAACGTCAGCCTCATCTTCTCCCAGAGCGTAGCCCTCTTGGCCTCTATGGTGGTCTGTTCGCCGTGCAGTCCCCACGCATGCTGGTAGACGTTGACTATCTCCACCCAGCCTATGCCCTTGCCGTAGGCTTTCACGTGCAAGAGTCGCCCTGCCACCACATAATTGAAGCGAATGCTCTGCTGATCAAATCGGCTAGCCCTCAATAAAACCATCACTCCTGCGTGCCCCCGCTTTGCGCTCTCGCCGACGCCGCAGTTGATACAATGCCAGCCCCTGGTGCTGTAGTCCATGTGACTCTTAAACCATGTCTCTTGTAGGCATACTATCTGGTAATCGGTGGAAGCAAGCCAAGTGAACATCTCATCCTGCAGTGTACTGAGTCCCCCGCAATTCCATGAAAGCAAAGAGAGCGAGGCCTCCGATCGTGTCAATGACCCTGTGTACCTGTGACGCTGACGGCAAGTTTGCTGTGCTTTGTTGGTGTACATGCCCGTGAGGTCGCCTTCGTCGACCGCTGTGCCTTTGTACTGCGTGTATCCCCATCTCCTCGCCCGAAGAATCGCTCGCTTGTAGGAGCGCTTTCTAGCCTGTGTGAACCCTGAAGGACTGCCTCGATCGTCGATTTTCGCGGGTGCAAGAAGCTTTTGAAGATCCATATCCATCCCGCTCTCAGGGCCCTGACGAAGGAAACCCCAACCCTCGCTTCTACTGCGATCCAGAAGTTGAGCAAGAAGCCTGAACTCTTCTGGGACCCCAGCCTCCGGACTTGGGACCGGAGCGGCCATCACCATGTTCTCATAAGGTGCTGTTGCTGCACTGCATGCGTTCTCCGGAAAATCCATGTGGCAAATACGAATACTGTGTGAAGAAAAGTTGTGAAATGAAAACACCAAGCCAAGCAAAGTAATGAAAAGCATGCGTAGTCGCGCTGACTGAAGGTGCAGCGTGGGCTCAGGAAACAGTCGGCAACGAGTGCTGCAGTCCATGCGTGTCCCTACGAAAGGCTACAGCTACCCCGCCCCGCTACCCACCACTCACAGCAACCGGTCTTGGGCCGAGAAGCTTAGTTGGCTAAGCTTTTTTTTGACTGCGCAGCGTCCTGAAGGTCGCCTGGCGTAAGCCTACGTGTGTCACACGGCAGCTCTAGGCTGCAAGCTTTGCGCCCCGTGCCGTAGCACCTAGCAAGCACAAAAAGCGCCCCGTGCCGAAGCACTAAGCGAGCACTGATTTCACGACTTCAGTCCGAAATCAAATGCAAGAAAACTGTACGAAAGAGCTGTACGAAAGCAACTGTACGAGTGTACGTACCCCTACAGGGAAGACTGAGCTTGTTGTTACAGTCAACCCAAGACCCTACCCTAGCAGCTCCGTCACTCAGCATGCGCACCGCGTCCGGCGCGACATGCGGCAGAGAGCACGGGTGCCCGTAGGAGTGGCGAGCCACATCCCCGACAGCATGCACAACCTCCTGCGTCCAGCGAGGATTGTACACCCGCGCCTGCCAGTGAGCCGTAAACTGCATCAGCCCTCAGCTCTCAGCCAAATCAAGTAAGCATTTCTGAAAAGGTGTTGCATGTCGCTGTGTTTGGCCCTTTTGGCCCGAGAGCCGTCATCAGTGATGTACCAACATGACTCCAATGCACTGTGCAGCATGGCCCTGTAGTGTCCAGAATTAACAGTCTGACCATAGTGTGAAATAGCACCAATAACCGTGTAAGAACAACTACGGGTTTCCAAACTGTTCTCATCCAGAAAGCAGGGAATCATGATGGACAAGCTGTGCAAACTTACCGACATTGTGCGCTTGAAGGCCTCACCATCATCATAGCCGAACCTTGCGAGGCATACACACAATACCTCAGGAGGTTCGCACAATGCATGTATAGCATCCTGAGCACTCCACTGATCCACCACTGTTTGCAAAGTACACTCCTGTAAATGTGAAGGTAATGTCATCCAAACGGGCGAATACGTGTGGGCACTGTCCCTGAGCTCCAGACTAAGAAGTCTCGCATGCCATGATCCATCCAAAAATCGAGGCATCACCTGAGTAAATAAATGATCACACCATTCTTGCACATCATGCTGAAGTCGCAGATTGGGCCATCCGCGATAAAAGCATTGCCAAGGCAGTAGCTCAAGAAGATTGAGCAGCCCCTTGCTCGTAAGAATGGCTCGGAGAGCCGGAGTCGCCGCACCTGCAAAGTACTCAAGATTATTGCTGAACGATGAAGCCCACGCCCACAGCAGAGCCAGCGAGTTGATGTAACACACGTTGTGATTGTTCTGCAACCGCACTCCAAGGACCTGCCTCTGCGTCTTGGTCACGAACTCACCTGTAGCTGCGCCATGGCCTCCACTAGTTGATGTACCAGGGGTTGCCGCTTGAGGCGTTCGCCCCGAAGGCGAGCGCCCACGACCCTTAGAACCGTGTTGCCCTCCAGCTTTCGAAAAAGCTCGAACGTCCGATCCGCCAGAGCCCCTCTCGTGCTGATTGACAAGAGAAAAGGTAATGTGTCGCCCTCCATCTGCTCCGCCAACGGGCGCACGCTGTGGAACTTGTGCACCAGTTCTTCGGACTTGTCGAAGAGCGCCTTCTTGATCTCCTTTATGATCTCCGTCATCTCGCTGTGAGGGATCGCCGCTTTGGTGGAGTCGAGTTCCAACTTCTCCCCCGTCCAAATCATGTATGGCCAAGCTGGCTGCCCGAGGAGAGTGGTGAGCCAACCATGCTTGATCATGTTGTCCTTGGTCGGCTCGTGTGCAAGCATCTTCGTCAAGCGGCCTTCTAGCTCCATCATCATGCACAGAATCAAGGTTACGCGCAACGATTTGTCCACCGTCGGGGGCTGGGCTTCCTTGGCCTTCTTCCAGACCTGTGCCGACTCCCAAAACAAGTGAACCATTCCCTGGGGCCCCGTCTCGAAATGTAGCAGAAACTGCTTGTCCATCTTGAGCATCTGAATCTCGTTGTCCTGTTGAACCAGCAGCCGAGCAACCAAGTGCATCATTTGCTGAAGATCTTCTAAAGAAACCGTGGATGGTGCCGGAGCCGGTGCCTGTGTGTTCCAACGGTTCCCCCAGCCGTTGTTGAAGCGATTGCCTCGGCTTTTCCCCCAGCCTTTGCCCTTGGTCTGCTTGGTCACTTCCAGATGCGGCCTCTTGTTGGAGCCGTTCTGCTCGACCTGCTCGGCGGCTCTTTTGGCTGCTATTTCCCGAAGCGCCGGCATCGTCGCTGCGAAGATGTCCATGAACTGGTCCTCCCCCGTCGACATGCTGGCCATGAACTTCTACAGGAGGAGCTGCCGGTAGCGAAATTTGCAAGGCAGATTGAAAGAGAACATGACAAACATGTGCATGCTGTGCTGCTCGTTTAAAGTTGCCTCCACAGAACTGACACGGACGTTTGAGACTGGCAGCCCACTGCGAACACAAATCCACCACCCCGGTCTTCGACTGGGACCATATGTTTGCATGATGTTGTTCCATGTGCCGTCGCAGCCCCCTCGCGGTGCATTGTTCATGACACAACTGGCAATGGGTCGTCCAATGTTTGCTGGCATGTACATCAGGCAAGGATACTTCAGCTACCGGCCCTGGCTCCGCACTCACCGTGGTGACATCACCGCCTGAGGCTGCACTGCCCATCGCACGAACCATAGACAGTTGAAACAACACCGGACATGTGTCGGTATGGACCGAGCCTTTGGGCACAGACCGATGACACCATGCACAGGTACCTGTAATGCGTGCAAAAGTTGCTCTTCGCCATTGCAATGTGTGAGCTTCGTGCGCCTGCCATTCCTTCTTATGAACTCGCCCCCAATGTATCTTGATATACTTGGGATCGGGTTGCCATTGACGACACAATGCACAATGCTGAAGTAGTTCCTGCTTGAGCTCCTCGGTGACCGTTGCCAAGCTGATGTCATCGAGCTGAAGCGTGCCATCCCGAGCCTGATCCCAGACGGAAGCCTTGGCCTCAACCATGGTACTCGCCTCGGTGTCGGGTGTGCTCTGTTGACAAAAGTTCCCTGCAACATGTTTCTGCAAATCAGCCCACCGCAGAAATTTGTGCCCACACATGGAACACGTCGGCATTCCATCCACACCGTGACGTTGCCTGTCAAAGGTTGGCGCTGCAGTCTGCCGCCTCTCCGCACTATGGACCTTAGCCTTGTGTGCCCGCAAAGAACTGTAGTCACCGAACTCCGCATTGCAAACATCACACTTGTGAACAGTAGTGACGCTATCGCTCTGAATGCAACGGTCCTTGAACTGCTGCAAAATGGTCTGCTCCCACTCCCGAACAGCCGCGCTGATTCGAACATCCTGTGTCGCTAAGTGATGCGTAAGCTCCGTTGTGCGTTCCACGGCGGCCTGCAATCTCTGTTGCACCATCTGTTCGGGAGTGACCATTGCCACCTTTCGCCAGAAAACTTCATCGGATTCCGTGATAACCTCTTCACCGGTTTCACCTCCCAGCCTGTGTCTGGGGCTGCGCGCGATGGCTCGCGCTTGCTTGGTCAACATGACGCGAAGTGCGTCGAACCCCTTGGGGAGAACACCGGAAGCAGTGATTGAGTACATGACAGTTGGGATGACAATGGCCTTCCATAGTCGAAGCCTCTTCTGCATGCTGGCTGCCTTGTCTGCCATGAGAAATTTGCGAACTCGCTGGAATGCCACTTTGCCTGCATGGACTCGGTGCTGCATGTTCTTGTGCTCAAAGTCCCCATATGTGATGCAAGCGCCTAAGTAAATGTGATCCTGTTTGAGTGGCAGGATGTAGTCCGGGCTGATTTTGAGGACTCGGCCGTCCTTGGTCTTGTCGATGAGCTGCCGCTTGATGTGTGGAGTCTGAACACCTTCAACCCGTAGCAGACAAACCGTCTTGTCCCGACTAAGTTTGAGACCCGCCTTTTCCAGGAGCTGTAATGCCCGATGTGCTTGTGCAAGAGCCTGATGTAGCTGCACCGCATCATGGATATCCCAACGAAGATGAGTATCATCAGCAAAGCCCACCAGATGATCGTTGCACCATTGGGACCCCATCTCCTGCTCAAGCAAATGCAGCAAGTACACCGAGATGCACACCCAGAGTGATGGTGATAAGCGACAGCCTTGTCTGATTCCTCGACTGGAGGAGAACTTGGCTTCAGCATCGTCCTGCACAACATGGAAAGTGGTAGTCTCTACCCACTGCATAATCAAGCATCGTAGGTTATCAGGGACCTTCAGATGTAGAAGGGCTGAGTTGAGCAGAGCGCGGTTGGCCCTATCGAACGCTTGTGTGAAATCGATGCTCACCTGCAAGCCCCCTGCGCAGCCCCCTCGTCGATGTCTAAGCTTTCCGTGAAGTCATCGATCGGACGGATCTTTGCCGCCACACCGTTGGCCGTCGTCGTCACACCTTGCCTGACGCCAAAGCGGCGCGTAACAATGGCAGTCTCCGGCACATCGGCGAGAGAGAAGGGTCCAGTGAGCCACCCTTTGTCCCGCTCCTCCAAGGTAAGGCGATACACTTCCGAAGCAATTTCGGGATCCCTGCAGGTGCGGGTGGCTTCCCAGATCGCACGCTGATTCGCCGGGGTGGCGATTCTTACGTCCTCGATGCTGAGGGATGCCACGGTGGTTTTCTTCGGCAAGACAGACGAGGAAGGGATTTCACCAAGCAGGTCGAAGCCGTTCTGTATATCTCGTACAAGGTTTGCATCGGCATGCCCAGCAGCTTTGACCATCTCCCCGAAGAGTTTCAAGGGTTTCCCAGCTAGGATCTTCTTGCAATGTACGGGTCCGTCAAAGCTCTCGTCAAGCTCTTTCTTCCTAAGCATCCATTTGCGAAGTTCAGCCGTGCGTTCTCTAGCCACACTGACCGAGCTGTGCTCGACACTTTGACTGTGCGAGAAAACTCAGGCACCAGCGGAGGGATCTTCCGACCTGAAGGTTGTGCAGCTGTAGTCACACGGGCGCCCAACGAGAGCGACAAGGATGCATTGGCAAGAGAGCACGCCGGGCCGCGTGCACCGCATGCAAGCAGTTGATCCACAAGTGCGTGGGCAAAGGATTTGCACAGCATAGGCGGGAGGCCAGCGTCTTTGGCGCGATTGCACGCCGGAGAGCGCCACGGCTCGTGAGCGTGGGCACCGTCACACGTCACACCAAGTTTCTGCAGGAAGGGAACCGTGTGCAGAAGGCGGGTAGCCTTTCGTCTGTAGGAGCCGAACATACACTGATGCAAAGAAGTAGAGAGGAAGGGAGAGGCCTGGCAAGACCGAAGTGAAGCAGTGAGCCACATGATGGATCGGCTGGGGTGAGCAATGGAGCAGAACACCCCATGACTCCAACAGAAATGCCAGACCTCTGCGCACATGGCAAACAGGGCATTAGCCCCATTGACCAAATCAAGATCAGCACCTTGAAGACCTGGCAGACCCTCAGGATGCGCTGCATTGCGAAGGCCACTTGGGCGAGGGCCCGCCAAACCGACACAGCTGGTGGTCACAGGTGGAGACAAATGGCACGCAACAACATGTGGCTGCCTAAGGAGGTCGAGCAGAATGGCTCGGGATCCCGGCTTCGTAAGGTCCAGGGAGACAACGGGACATTTGCAACCACGTTGTGCATGACGGTCCAAACCAACGCTCAGCTTCATGCCCAGCTGACGCAAAGCAGCACAGAGGGTTGCCGAACCACAGAACACATCGAGGAACATGAGACTATCAAGAGGCACTCCTTTGACTTTATCAGAAACCTTAGAAAGCAAGGGTTCCAAGGCTCCGGCAGGCGGTGGGACATACGCCAACGGAGGGTTGACGGTTGACGCGGAGACCGAGGGCCTAAACCCTAAGGATTTAAGATGCTCAAAGTCAAGGCTGGGCAGCTGAGTTGCATCTCCGCCCGAAAACAGGATGAGGACCAGTCTATCCCCCGTCCAAGGCATTGTGCAATGCAAACGTTTTCTTGCATAGAACCGCACTGGGGCCGCTGCAACATCATACAAGTCCCCATGGACCAGGGAACCATTGACGGGTAGGGCATGGCTGCCCGACTCGGATTGAACCCATATGTGCCCACCTGAAAAGTCGGTGACACCCAGCACAAGATTGTCAGCATCATCGTTGTTCACATCACAGTGAACCTCAGTCTTGACGTTAAGATTCAAGGAAATCGAGCAAAATGTGAAATCTGTCAACTTGGGCCCGCCGTGCTGCACGGCCCAAGAGATGGCCAAAAGGACCGATTGAGGAAAAGAGCGACAAGTGTTTGTGAGGCCAACGATGCCCCCATGTCGGAAAACACCTGCAACAAAGGATCTGCCAGACTCTGAGCCAAAGCGTTCATCCAGTCTAGAGGGTAACAAACTAAAAAGGCGCTCAATGCAAGATGCTGTCACAGGTTCACCAGACGACAGCACGTCTTGCGCAAATTGCTCTGCTGGATGCAAAGAGACGTGCACTCGCCGCTCAGCGGGCAAGGGAAAAACTCGCTCATCAATCACAACATTCGGGATTCGTTCAGGCACTGCTGCGGCCGGCTTGGGACATGCCAACGGGCCCACCTTATCTATCTGTGTCATCATGCACTCGTGGTTTGCCGCCTGGGGCGAGACCGAAGGGCTCATCGCCTCATCAACAAGAGAATCGGCCTCAGCGGCGGCAGCCTCCCGTCACTCGTTGACTTTGTAAGTCGTGCATTGAAGGAGAGAGTGAGGCTGCTCGCAGAACATACAAATGTGCAGGCCCCTTTTACAGCTCTCTCCAGGTTTCGCAAACTTACATCCAGCCTGCATATTAAAATTCCAACACAGGCGTTTCTTAGTCTTGCTACAGTTGTGCTTCAAGCGGGAGTCGGACAACGCTTCAGGACACTTTCCCTTACCTGCACCTTTACCGGGTCGGTGAGGAGGCAACTTCGGCTTGCCATCGGCATCACGCTTTGTGCCCTTGTCGCCCTTTCCATCGCCCTTCCACTTAGCCCCAGGAAGCGGGGCCAGATGCATCATGATTTTTGGATCGTACTGAAGCTTGTCCAGAGCAGCATCCATTGGCAGGTTTCCCGCGTCATCTTTCTTCAGAGAAGTCAAGAGCTCACTCATGCGTACCCATGCCGCCTTGTCGCACCTGAGCAGTTGCTCCATCGAAACCTTAGCATAGTATGGAGGCGGCTGCTCCGATAGCTTGGCAAGCAGATGCCTGTGCCACAAGTCCATGGAGGCAAAAGTGCAAAGCTGCAAAAGGTCGCAAGCAAGTGCCCTGCGACACAGGGCTTCGGATAGCTGCAACTCATTCTGAATGCCACACTTATCCTTGTGGGCCTTGTCGCGGATACTCATGCGCGAGCCCTCATCTAAGATCAACTCTTTCCCTGGCTTTTCTCGATTCACCTCCATGGTCCTGGTTAGGAACCTGTGGGGCTCCAAATAGGACAGGCAATCTTGATCAACGACCTGGGCGACATAAGTGTAATTGCTGAAAGCGTTTTCCAAAGGACCAGTCAAGCTGAGCCCCACGAGCCTTTTCCGCTGATCGGTTATACGATTCGTCCTCTCAGCAGGGGCCAACTCCGCTTTCTTTTCACCTTCACCCTCAATCGAGCTTTTAAGCTGTGCAATGGACAGAGTTTGAGCCTCAAACATGAGGCGCCGCAGCGCCGACAGTGCACGCAACGGCACAGTCGTGGGGTCCGTGGGATCAAGGATGGACCTGAGCTCAGCCTCCTGCGGTACTTCGCCCGGGGTCGAGACACTGAAGGCAAGGAGCGACAAGGATGTCAAACCCTTACGCACGAGCACATCAAGCTCAGCTTGCGTCAGCCCACATTCCTTGGCCCTTTCTTCGAAAGCCGCCTGACTCTTCAGGATGGACGCCATGGAACAGGGTTGGATCCTACACGCTCAGACCTACAAAGACAGCAGGTGTGTACATGTTCTAGCTCGATAGAAAAATCAATCCCGCAAGGTCATTTCCAGCACGTCATGACACATGATCCCGCAAGGTTCTGAGCCGTCCTGCAAGTGATCGCAAAAGAAGGTATCCCGCAAGCTCCACATAGGCAGATCAATGCAGACAAACGAAAAACCCCTGAGGCCTCCAGGCTCATTGGGACACACTCCGAAACACCACAGCACGGACTTTTACTCGGTCCTCGGAATCTTCTTCAATCGCTCGTCAAGGCAGTGCACCAAGGACCCTAAGTCCCTGATGGGCTTTCCCTTCCAGCATTGTTTGCAGCGCCAGTGCGCTGCTTGAACCGCCGACGTGAACGGCTTATGGTTCGCCGTGATATCTCGGCCACATATGAAACGCTCCATGGAGCTTCCCGCAGGCTTAAGATGAAGAGTCCTGGTGTTCTTCTGCTGATAGACAGGGCACCGATCATGATACCTCTGCCCCACCGGGGGGTCTGCTTGGCTCGCAGTCAGGACTTCATCTATCTCGCTGTCGGACGAGCCTGAATCGGAACTAGACTCGCTGGACGACGAGGAGTCTGGCTCCTCCCCCTGAGACCTATCGTCCTCGAAAGCAGCATCCGGATCTTCCCACGCAGCACGCTCTGCACTATGGATTAGGGAGTCCACAGCGCGACCGAAAGGGGTGTCATCGTCACTGGCATCCCTTTGATCGCTGAGGCCAGGCTCGGAAGCAAAAGCATTCGCACAAGGAAGGGCTTCTGAGTCACAAGCTGAGCCAGGGCTGACCGCCGGCCGGTACCAGTTTCTTTCCGCCTCAGTCTCGAACACGCTGTCGCCAGGCAGCTCCTCGGCCGAGTCGGCAGATGCAGGGCCCTTTGCATAAAGACCGGACCTGGTCATGTCTGGGAGATACCTGCCACACCGAATGTCACAGTACATCTGACACAGCGCCCGTCGCAATGGCCCAGCTTGAATGTCCCTGGAGTAGGTCACGACCGATCGTCTATCTTTCAAGGAGTGGTGCCCCAGGATGGTGCAGGAGTCCTTGGACATGTCTGTCTTGCTTGCCCACGACAGTGCAGTCTGCTTGCACGAATGACCCTTGAGATCAAACCCCATGCTCTCATCCCCAGACTTGAGGATCGAAGAAATCCAGGTCACAAACCTGCCCGTCGGAATCCGGCGACCACTCCAAGACCCATTGAGCATAGGCGACTGCAGCAAAGGCAGGCTGCAGGATCCGGTGGCGACTGGGTGGCCCGACAGGCGCCACACCTCAACCCAAGCTTTGGCCCAAAGACCTTGACCCACACCCCGCTCGGGGGCCACTAGGCTCAACTCGAGCCCCAACGGGTTACCTGTCGAGGCACACTTGTTTGTGCGACGTCGAGATGCACTCAAGGAAACCTTCACCCTCTGCAAAATCGATGAACATTGCTTTGACTGCCCTCACATCCCCTACACGGGCTCGCGAGTGAATGCAAAACAAGCAAGCACCTGCAGCATACCTATCCCTTGCATCACGGCGGCTGTCCTGGACAAAAGCCTCAAGGTATGCCACCTCTCGAACCTGGAAGGGCCTCGCCTGCACACGAGGCGGACGATTGAACCGCACCTTGCGAAGTCGCCCTTGCACAAGTGGGTGCTTATGAGGCTCACCAGTGGCATCCACACCCAAGATGAATCTAGCGAAGTTGCACGCTTCAATGCAAGATCCGAACACAGAGTGCGAGGCACCACTCTGCTGCAAATGCTGGGTGTACTCAATCAACACCTGAGAGTCAATCGGGAAAGCCGACATGCCTTGGTTCGAGCACCATCCCACCAGGCGGGCGAGACTGGACAACCGCTTCTTCAAAGTCGAGAGAGCCTTGCCACCCAGGGCTTCGGCAACAAGACTGACCCGATCTGTTTCGCACTTGTCCTTCAACAGTCTGCCAAGGGAAGAGCATTCGTATGCATGACTCAAGAGGATATCGTATCTCGTTGCAAGCAACTGCAACTGTTGCTCCTCAGTTTCTTGGGGCTTCTGAAATTTCCTGGCAGAGAAAGCGACCTGCACAAACTGTGAAGCATGCTCTTGGGGGTGAGCCTTGGCGGCTGCCTCCTCGAAAGAAGCGGAATCCAGGGGCTCCGTCTGCAGAGGAGCTGGCACACTGCACTGGGAAAGTGAACTCAGGTCGCTCTGCGAAAACACTGCTCTCATCGCCCCGCGCTCCCAGGGCATCTTGAGGGAATGCTTGGACACATGTTTGTCTGCAGCAAGCAACAGCCTGTCGAGCGGTCGCGCCATACCCCAGAAAATGCAAGCGCTCACCTACGTTGGTAGATCCGGCTCAGGCGGCCACGAGCTCGGTGCACAAACTCAGCAATCGTACAGAAAATGTAAGCCACAGCTCGGCAACTAGCGCGCAGAGGAAACAGTCGATCAACTCCAATGCTGAGCAAAATGTGGGCTCCGGCTGAGGCTGCTCCCAAGAACTGAGGAATGCCCAAGCGGGCTGGCGGGTCAGGGCGCAAAATAGCAGACTGCCAGCCTCGAAGTGTAAGACGCTCCCAGAGCCAGAGGAGCAGAAGACGCCGCAAGGCAGGAGGCGGGCGCTGAAGCCGCCGCCGATCCATGAAGGACCCCGACTACGCGGGGAGTTAAAGCCTTGCGTGAGGGGCCCGGAACCTGTTAGACGAGAGCAACAAGCCTCTAGAGGGCCCGACACAAAAAAATTTCTCACGCCTGCAAGCAAAACTTGAGCCAAAATGGCTACGGGGTGCAGACTGTTGGATTCCGGCTCCACATTCGTGGATGTACAAAGACTGGCAAAACTACGATCGTCCTGCAACGAAGTTTCCGGCAATATCCCGCTAGTGAGAAACGAACATCCTGCAAGCGAAAAGGGCAACTGATGCCATTCCCCCGAGGGGTGGGCGGGTGGGACAAAAAATTTTCTCACGCCTGCAAGCAAAACTGCGAATGCCACTGACATGCATGGCAAAGCAAACGTGAGAAAACATCATGTCATGCAAATAACCCCCGCAAGACATGACTGGAAAAAGTGCGCCCGAAAATTGTAAACAATTTTTCCAACATGAAAACAATCAAATAAGAAAACATCCCCCTTCGGGAGAGGTCACGTAAAATGCATATTGATATTGGAGTCCACGATCACGAAGAAGGGCTCGGACTGCGTAATATGATCGCGAGCATGTCGTCATCAACGAAGCCACAACACCAGGATGGAAAGTGATCTCGGCGAGGGCATAGTGAAGATGGTAGTCGCGTTCTGTGCGGAAAGCCAGGGCTTGACCATGTTGTTCAGCAATGGGAAAGAGGCACCGCAACGTGGAATCAGGAGCGGGTTCATGAGCAGAGGCATTGTCCATCACCGAGTCCGGAGGGACCAGAGCAGTGCGTAAGCGAAGTTCCAAGAGCGGCAATAACACACGGAAGAGCACGAAGGGGTCGGTCAGCACGTCCAAATAGTCCAAGACAGTCGCCGAAGAAGACGACGTGAAGGCCGAGCAGGAAGAGGAGGGCGAAGAAGAAGCGGAGCGTGGGAGCAACATGGATGAGGCCGCGGAAAAGGGCAGGACTGGTGCAATACAGAAAATGGCTGCGGAACGTCCAAGACCGAGAAGAGTAGGGGCAGTGGTAGCACAATGTTTTGCTCAGTTCCGGCCGACTGAATACAAAGTAAGAGGTGGGCGCGGCTCACCGCTGGCGGCGTCCATGGACCTCAGATCACGTCGATGTCGATCGCGGTCACGTTCCCGATGTGAGGCTTCAGGTGGATCAGTGCGACCGGTGCGATGCTCACGTGGTCCTCGGGAGCGGTCTGGATCAGCGCGGTCTCGATCAGTGCGGTCCCGCCGACGTCGTCGACTGCGAGACCTGCCTGTGGTGGGTCGCCGTTCACCCGGAGGTGGTGGGTTGGAGGCCGATCCCGCCGCCACTGTGGTGTGTTGAGGAGGAAGCTGAGGGCGCGCCTTGACCTGGACGTAAATCAAACTGCCGTCGACGTCCGTCTTCGGGGCAAGAGCTCGTCCGGTATGTTTGCATACGGCCGGAGGTGGAGGTGTGTTACCGGTCGAAGTGGGGTCAGAATGTCCCGGAAGCAATGGAGTCGAAGGAGAAGGTCCCACAGGCAAAGGATTCGAAGGAGGCGGGGATGTGGAACGACGTCGACGACGATGACGGTCACGATCACGGTCTTCAGCCCGAGGACGTTCTTCAGCTCGAGTGCGGTCACGGTCCCGTCCTCGAAGTCGAGGTAGGGTGTGGCGCTGAGAGGGATCAGCATAGGGGGGAACCGGTGGTGGACCCATAGGGGCCGGGGGAGCCGAACTGCCACCAGGAAGTGTATTAGGTCCGGGAGAATCATGAGCAGCATGACCAGAATGCGTACCTGTATCCGTGGATGTGATTGGCACTGTAGTAGGCGGAGGACCATCTGGAAGCGGAGGGGAAGATGTAGTGGCCGCCGGAGCCAAAGTTGGAGGCGGCGGAGGCGGGGCCGCATGGTCCGAAGGAGGAGGAGCAGTGTCGGTGGGTCTAATATTCGGCCGGTTCTGATGAGCTCGAAGCAGTACATCACGAACTTGTAGGAGTTGGCCGTCGGAGAGCGACTCGAAAAACACCAAGAACAGCTGCAAATACTCGGAACTGAAGGCGGTGGAAGCCATAGTGTGCTGCAATGTTTTCAGCAAAACGGCTGCGGAATATAAGTGCAACAACGAGGAAACCAGCAACCATGCATCTCGAGTCACGCTCACGTTTTGCAGTTCCTCTCACAGAAACACAGCGATGCCTTCTGGTTGCGCAAGGGTTGAATGTACACCCCAACGGTTATCATTACCGTGTAGGATGGAGACGAAGTAGTTCGCCGCGTTCTCGGGGATGGTGCCCCCGCTGTCGCTCTTCAGGTGGTAGCCAGCAGGAGTGTTGGGGAGTACTGAGGAAGGTGAATCGGCGGGCGCGGCATTGGCAATGTCGAGATAGCAAATAGGTACTCGTCCGTATACACAGTTTGGACGGGGAGAACCCCAACCGCCGAACTTGGCGGCGGCACGTAAAGCGCCGCTGAGGCTGTTGACCGAGGCGCGAGAGTAAAAAGCTGGGCTCGGCAACCAAGAAGCGTCAAGGGGGTCGAAATTGCTCGGTCGGATGCAGCCTTCTTTAAGGATGCCGAATGCCGCTTGAAGATCAGCGTTATGTCCGAAGTACGCAACAGCTGGTGCACCACTGATGCGTTGTGCCGCAGCCGGAAAGGGAAGTGAGATCATCAGCATCGGTCTGCCTGCTTGGTTGGGTAGATGTTGAGGGGCTTCGACCTGCGTGAACTTAAACTGGATGCTGTGAGGATGGTATCCGGCATGCACTAACAGATGCATCACTGTCAATGTCGGATCTGCTGGTGTAAACGGCAAGTCGAACTGGCGTCCCTCCAGAAGCAGCTCCCGTTGGCACTGTCGGCGATGAGGTAATGCCTTGAAGTAGGACCTGTGTTCCAGCAGCGCCGTGTACACTCGGTCCCAGTGGACCGCCTTGAGGTACCCAAGGCGTGTGGAATAATCTGATTGCAGATACGTATCCAGTTGCCCTGCAGTGGCTAGACACTGTCGAAGAGTTGCCAAAGTGCACGCGGAGCTGAAAGGAGCTGCTGAAGATGAAGAGGTTATAGGCGGAGACGTCAAGGATGCTGAAGGAGTTGCAGAAGGGTCCGGTGCCGAGGAGGTAGAAGCATGGCAGGAGCAGCGGCAGTCACCGGGTGGTCGTTGCTGGAGGAGTGCGGGACCATGACGGTGGGAAGCAGTCCAGGCCAGAAAGTACGTGCTGGTAGCGGAGATAGATCAGGAAGGGTAATTGGAGCTGCTATGCTGACGGGCCGCGGAGGCTGCAAAGGGTCACAAGGTGGAACGCCGGGGTGCTGCAGTTCGACTCATAGGCGGTGCCGGTGTCGACGTAGCGGAGGAAGAAGATGAAGAGGACGAAGATCTCGGGCGTGACCGAGACCGAGAGCGAGAAGGTGCTGTCGTCCGGAGTCCAGGTGCGCAGGACGGTCGGGGACGAGGAATCATGGCGAAGACAGAAAAGCAAAGCAATGCACAGCCTACAACAGCAACTACTACATGAAAAACCGTTAGAACGTTACGGTCAAAATATTCCCTGCCTGAGTCCTTGGGTATGAGTGCTTGAAGCTGCTTTGGCTGCAATCGCGTTTTGGTAGGCATGAAGCCGATTTTGTGGGTGCCATAAGAGGCGGTAAGGCCGTGCGGCTTCATTGCTCTCTTCATTGAACTGATCTAAGCGCTGACACTGAATTTGGCGCCTCCGAACTTGGAGGATCTGAGTGCAGCACCGAGGCATACACCACCGTCCCGGAGGACTACACACTGAATGTCAAGTAAGGTTTCTGTATGCGAAGAACCAGTACCAGCACCCAGGTCTCAGGCGACCACGTGCTGGGCAGCTTTTGACATGTGGCTTCATGGACGGTAGCTGCTAGCTGCAATGAAGAAGAGCGAAAAGTCGGGCCTGAACCTTCTAACAGCCTGACTAAACCACAAAGCCAGCCTGAACCCCAACGCACCGAAGGACACGGCAGGGACGGAGGATGGTGGACACTGGCACTGAGTGATGCATGTATGCAGTACACCCTAAACGGGGTTCTTGGCTTAGCCCCAGGCCATCCAGAAAACCATCACGAACTAGACGACATGGACTCATGCACTGACTGTTTCTGAAGTGATACCACAGCTGCAGGAGAACGACTGGTTGGGGTTCTCGGCTTAGCCCCGCGCCATACCCGTCAACAGCGGCAATAAAAGATGCGAAGAATAACCAATGCACAGCGAAAGTCCATGTACTGTGTCACAAGCAGAGTGCAGGTACTTGGTCGTCAAGGCGTCCCCCAACCATATCCTGATGTGTGACTGGAGCTTCGTTGCACCAGGCCGAGCCACACACCCCTGGTGCCCCTGCTGTGTGTCCGAAACTCAAGTTTGGTTATATGTAAAGTCGCAATCGGAAAACAGCTGCAGAGCGTGAGGGGAAGGCCCTTGGATACAGGGTTGTCACACACACACACTGAATGGCAAGTAAGGTTTCGGTATGCGAAGAACCAGAACCAGCACCCAGGTCTCAGGCGACCACATGCTGGATGACTTTTGACATGTGGCATCATGGACAACAACTGCAAAGAGGAAGAGCAGAAAGTTCGTGGCCTGAGACCTCTACCTGCCTGACTAAACCACAACGCCAGCCTGAACCCCAACGCACCGAAGGGCAACACAGAGAAC